CCTCAGTGAGATACAATGCCACAGAGTCCACCGTCCAAAGCATCCACTTTCTCCAGGGGAACTCATCTCTGTACTCTGGAGATGAACTAATTCCGGGGGATCCTCAGCTCCCACCTGGAGGCTGGCCTCCCTAATGCCCAACATTATTCTCCTCCTACCCTCGCTTATTTTGCAATGCATGGATAATAATACTGGCCTACTTTACAGGGTGTTTGTTAGGCCTACCAAAAATAAAATGTGTGCGTGATGCATTTTGAATGCTACAGTAAAACGTGCCAGCAACCAACCACAGGCAGCCCTGCTGTGGATCTTTATTCATCGATGAACCAGACCCGCAGGAACGTCCTTTGTGGGCCCACCCAGAAGACAGGGCCCAACTTCGCTGCTCTGCCCCTTCCGGTTACCTTCTTTCTCTGCTTGTGCATCATGGCCTCCAGCGTATCCAGCTGCACCTGCTTCTGCTGGCGCTCCTTCTGCAAGCGCTCCAGGCGCTGCTCCACCTCGGCTATGGCCCTCAGGGCCTGGGCTGGCAGCCCCACCTTCCATTCTTCGGCCGGCCAGCTCATGATCCCCAAGTGCCCCGGCTGGGCCTGCAGTCGGGGATTGCGATGCAGAGGCCTTCTTTTCCTCCACTCCCTCCGTCCTCCAAGGACAGATTGCTAGGATTATAACGCCAGCAAGGGTTTAGGGCAGCGTCAGAGCTGAAATCCCTCCTACGTCCAACGGCAGACGGGGCAGGAGAGGGTCAGTGGCACGCACCTGGCCAGGGCCATTCAGAAGGTCATCCTACTCTACGGCATTTTCAGCTCTGGGTTGCGCTGGAAGTGACAGGGCTCTCGGGCCTTCCTCTCAGAGTTTGCAGGAAGAGTAAAAATTCAGGGTGAGGAGGAATGAGAAGCCGGGGAGGGATGCTGTTCTCCCCGAGACCGCCTCCTCCTCCCATTTGAAATTTTTAAGCCAACCCATTTTTCCGGCATGTTCTTCTGGTCTCCTTCCTTTCTGTGGGAAAGTATGAATGAAAGGCAAGGGCCACCAATGCGGGCATAAAACGTGTATTCTGGAAGATTACAGGGATTAGAAAAGTGCACTACTAATTCTGAATCGGAGAAGTTAGGCCTATGGTCTCTCTCTTTTTTTAAAAATAAAACCATTAATGGCCTCCAAGTCCCTCCCCTTCCTTCAACGCTCATACGCTCCAGGCTCCACCTCTTCAGAGCTGGAGCCTCAAGCGAGCCTAGCAACTTGACTCTGGCCTCTGAAGCATAATTGAAGTTCAAGTAGGGCTGTGCCAGCTTCAGGTTTTGAAATTCCTGTAGATTCTAGGGCAGCCTGGGAAGTGTGGAGTTTGGGGAGGGAGGGATGGGATGCCACAGTGACAGAGTCCACCCTCTGAAGTTGCCATTTTCTGCAGGGGAACGGATCGTGGCAGTCTGGAGATCAATTATAAGCCATTCTGAGAGAACTCCAGGACCCACCTGGAGGCTGGCAACTAGGGTATCCAGCTCTGGGTTAGGAAATACCTGGAGATTTGGAAGGTGGAGCCAGGGGGGTGGGGTTAGGGAAGAAAGGGACCTCAGCATGGTACAGTGCCATAGAGTTCACCCTAGGGTTGCCTGCCTCCAGGTGGGGCCTGGAGATCTCCTGCTTTTACAACTGATCTCCAGCTGACAGAGATCAGCTCCCCTGGAGAAAATGGCTGCTTTGAAGGGTGGACTCTATGGCTTTGTACCCTGCTGAGGCCCCTCCCCAAACCCCGCCCCCTCCTGGCTCCACCCCCCAAGTCTCCAGGGATTTTCCCAAGCAGACCTGGCAACGCTAGTTCACGCTCCAGAACAGCCATGTTCTCCAGGGGAACTGAACTCTGTAGTATGGAGATCAGTTGTAAAAGCGGGAGATCTCCCGGCCCCACTTGGGCTGGTAGCCCTAAGTACCATCCCCCAGTTGGAAACCACTTTGGGTTTATTGCATCCAGCCTTCACTAGCTTTGCAAGATTGCTCGTTGTGAATCAGCACATCTGCTTCTGGCTTGGTTGGTTTGAAACGGCATCCCTCAGAGGCCGTTAAAGCAAGTGTCCCAAGCGGTAGCTTTTCCACAGAAACTTCCCGGAGGGAGGAATAGCACCAAAAAATGGGGGGCGGAACCACTATGCTGTTCAACTTATATCCTCCAGGGCATTTAACCACTGTATTAAACACAAGTTAATGGTGTCCATGTACAACTTTTTTGATAGAAACAAGAAAAAGGAAAGATTTTGTCTACGTTTTCTTTATTTCACCTTTCTTCCAAAGAGCTCAGGATAGTGTACATAGCTCTTCCCTCCTGTTTTACCTTCACAACAATCCAACAAAGTAGGTTAAGCTGGAAGTCTGTGACTGACCCAAGATAACCCAAAGGGCTTCCGTTCCTAGTCTGACACACTAACCAATATACCATACTTATTAATTTATCTAAAATTCTTCTAATCCACTTGAGACATCCTCACATGAACATACAGGAAGCTCCCTTATACCGAATCAAACTGCTGGTCTATCAAGGTCAGTATTGTCTACTCAGACTGACAGCAGCTCTCCAGGGTCTCAGGCAGAGATCTTTCACACCACCTACTCCCTGGTCTTTTTTTTTTTAAATTGGAGATGCCAGGGATTGAACCTGGGACCTTCTGTATACCAACCAGATGCTCTACCACTGAGCCACGGCCCCTCTGTGGCCCACAAAGTGAGTACCACTGCACTAATGGCAGCACCTTCCTTGTATGTGAGGTGATTTCTGCTTGCAGAAGAGTCTCGTCTTGGGGGAAGGCGAGCCAGAGGTAGGCGCCACCAGTAGGAGGAAGAGATCTATAGGACCCACCCCAGAGTCTGGATGAATTTATGAGGCTGCCTTCGGCCAGGTCAGACCACTGAACCATCCAGGCCAGTTATCACCCACTCTGACTAGCCGTGGTTCTGCAAGGTCTCAGGCAGCGAAACATCTTTGTTCCATAGACTAGCCTGAGGTATCCCGGTCAGGACAGACTACTGCTACTAGACAGTTACTAAAACAATGTTTTATTAATTCTTATGGGTGTGTTCAGACGGGGCGTTTATGCCAGCTGAAACGCGATCACACTTACCTCCTGTCTGCGGAGCCCATCGCTGTATGCCCGTCACACACAGTAGGTGTCGGCGTTTGTTTTTTTTAAACTCAGTTTGCGCATGCGCATAGGCAGCCATCCACAGAATGGCGATCTTCGCGCATGCGCACAACACCCCATCCAGAAAAGCATGCCCTGAAGAGAGGACTTACCTTTAAAGTTTAAAGAGCAAACTGGCCTCCCTGAGGTCCCGGACTCCTCTAAAACCTTAAACTAAGGACCTTTTCTTTCTTTTTTTTAAACAAATGGGGGCAAAGCTTCGCCCAAGCACATAAGACAAATGCCGGGGCAAAGATTTGCCCAAGCGCATATTGTCAACCTAACAAAAAAAATGGCGGCCGAAAATAGGAAGAATCAGGCTTCCGAACAGAAGCGGCTCTACAATGGTGGAGAGCGATCAGACTGGGGGGGTGGGGGTAAAGCGGTTACAATCGTTGCACTCAGGATACCACCACTTGGGGACCTAAGTGGCAGAATACAACGGTTTAAAGCTCTTTGCAACGGTTAGGGACGGAAGGCAGATGTTCTACGTGTGAACGCCGGTAAGTACACCGATTCCAACTGGCACCTATACCGTTGCAAATGCCCCGTATTACTAAAGTGATACCTTGTTTTATCGATGGCTGCTTTGACCCGCTACCGGGATAGGATGGAATATAAATATCTTAGATAAAGAGGTAGGATTTTACTTTTTTTAAAGCTCCTTTTCAATACATTTGCTCAAATAACCTGATCCAATGCTGATCCCAAAAACTGGCCCACAGAAGAAAGCAGGTTTGTTACCATACGAAAGGGTTTGCATCCCAGATTCCCATCCATCCCTGTGTGATGTCGAACACCATCAAGCTACAGCTGACTTATGACAACCCTAGCAAGGGGCTTTCAAGGCAAGTGAGAAGCACAGAGGGTTTGCCATCGCCTTCCTCTCCAGAGCCTTCCTTGGTGGTCTCCCTTCCAAAGCCCTGCTTAGCTTCCAAAATCTGACAAGATCAGGCTATAACAGGGGTGGCTCGGGAGCCACATGCGGCTCTTTCACACCTATTGTGTGGCTCCCAGCAGGGCAGCTGGGGAAGCAAAGAGGAGGGGTGCCTCCCCAACCGGTCTTCCCTTCTCCAGCCAGTGTTCCCCTCCTGGGGTAGGCTTGAGACAGGGGGGAGCAGAGAAAGAAAGCAACGTTAACTTTAAATGCGTTCTCAAAGCCCCCCCAGCCTGCAAATATCATTGGACAAATAAAATATCATTATCAATATCTATTTTTACCCCCTTTTGTTTTTATTTTTTGGCCGCCTCATTTAATGTTAATAAAAAGCAAATTTGCATATTTTTCAATAATAAAAACATGTCTGTAATGTTTGTTCGTGTCATGCGGCTCTCAGACATCTGACGTTTATTGTGTGTGGCTCTTATGTTATGCAAGTTTGGCCACCCCTGGGCTATACCGTGACACCTTCCCTTCCCACCCATCCCTACATGACCACAGGAAGATTCTGAGTCCTTGGCTTGGACTCTGCCAAAAAATTCCATCAGCAGTGTACAAATTCTCTGCCTTTCCTCTCCTGGAGCTGCCCCAATTGCCCCCCCCCCGCTGCTCGGGGGGGGGCAGGACAGGGGACAAGACAGCAATCAAAGGGGCATGTTTTGTTGCAGAGGGGATGGCAAAACTCCCCTTCTTCCTTCAGTTATCCACAGAATCCAACCCCTTCTCTTCAACCTCTGTTCCCCTAACAGCAGCGGCGTTTTCTTCCAATGCAAGGAGCTTCCCTTTCATCCAGGGAAGGCTCCTTGTGGCGGCGGGAAGTGCCCTTTAGCGGGATAAAAGTAATCTTTGAAAAGAAACCATTAAGAACGACACACACAAAAGATGCTAACACAAACAGACTGTATTGTAAGGGGGGAGGGGAATGGAATCAGCACCGAAACTGCAGCGAGTCTAGCATAGGACAAAGGGTACTCCCAAACACTGCAGCTCTGGCTCATGGGGCGGAGGAAGGGGAAGGAGAGAAAAACCCCACCCCAGCTGTGCCAGAATTCTATTTAAACAATGACATCACAGATAAAACCCCACCCCCCCAACCCCCTTCAAATAAAGTGCCAGAGTTCTAAGTTTACTATTGTTATTCAGGAGGCGGCAGTGGGCACGGGAGGGAGGCATGTGGTTCAAGCATTGGGACCCAAAGTGCCAGCAAATGACCAACCAGCCCCACGGCTAAGGAAAAAACTGGATTTCCTGACTACACAATTTGGGGAAGGGGCTGTGGCTATAACACTCTGTGCCTCTGCACTGGCCGACTTCCAGCATCGGTAAGGATCCCCCTCCCTGCCACCCCCAGGCTTCTGGTCCCCCCCCTGCAACCCTCCCACATTCCTCAGTTCTGCGGGGTGGAGTAGAGGCTGTGGTGGTGGCTGCCGGAAACCGCCGCTTGCGAGAAGAGAAGGGGGGCCGTGGGAGGGTGACCCCCAAACCAATCCTGCTCGCTGCTGTGGTTGATGGAGCCATACCAGCTTCCGCTGCCCAGCCGTCCCGTCAGGCTGCAAGGGAGAAGAAGAAAAGGAGATTGGATTTATACCCCACCCTTCACTACCTGAAGGAGTTGCAGAGCAGTTTACTATCCCTTTCCCTCCCCCTCCCCACAACAGACACCCTGTGAGGTAGGTGGGGCTGAGAGAGCTCTCTTGAGAACTGCCCGTGAGAAAACAGCCCTGAAAGAACTTATGATTGACCCAAGGTCACACCAGTAGGTGTATGTGGAGGAGCGGGGAATCAAACCTGGTTCTCCCAGATTAGAGTCTGTGCTCCTAACCACTGGCTCTCACCAAAATGTTTGTGTGCGCGCGTGTGTGTGTGTGTGTGTGTGTGTGTGTGAGAGAGAGAGAGAGAGAGAGAGAGAGAGAGAGAGACAGACAGACAGACAGACAGACAGAAATATCTCGTTTGGGGTTTGGCAGCATTCTTGATCAGGAGTAAAGCCTACATAGCACCTTCAGGTTCAGAAGAAGAAAAAGAAGCAGATTGGATTTATACCCTGCCTTTCACTAACCAAGGGAGTCTCAGAGCGGCTTACAAACTCCTTTCCTTTCCCCTCCCCACAACAGACACCCTGTGAGGTAGGTGGGGCTGAGAGAGCTCTGACAGAAACCGCTCTTTTTCAAGAACAGCTCTGACAGAACTATGGCTTGCCCAAGATCATCCAGTAGCTGCGAGTGGAGGAGTGGGGAGTCAAACCCGGTTCTCCCAGATTGAAGTCCGCTCACTTAACCACTACACCAAACTGGCTCAGGTACAGTTTATCTCTGAATATCTGTCACGAGAGAGCTGAATGGCAGGGGAAGGCAGTTTGGCATTTGTGTTTGCCAGAGACATTGGGTGGGCCAGTTTTGTCTTTTGTCTTGGAGGGACTGGGGAAGAGGCAACGGGAGCCAGTTCTTCATCTGCATACTCCAAAGGCCCTCCGTGACACAAACCAGAGGGCTGGGATCATTATGGGTGCCCAGATACCAGGGAGGAAGAGGTTACCTGCTGGTCAGTCCTTCACTATCACGCTGTCCAGGGTGGTCAAAGAAATAGGAACGGGAGACTCCAAGCTGCCGGTTGAAGACACGGCTGGCACTCTGTATAGGGAGGGGAAAGCCATTACTCGGAACCTCTCTCATCTGCCCTCCCTTTTCCTTCCTCTCCTCCTGCCCAAGTCCCGTGACTCACAGCACGGCCACTCAGCAGCTTGTACCCAACGGACTGAAGCCGCCCCCTCCTGTCTGTCCCAGTAGACAGTGCTGTGAGAACACAGAAGACTACTGGATCAGTCCATCTAGTCCAGCGGTCCATGTAGTCCACCATCCTGTCTCACACAATGGCCAGCCAGTTCCTCTGGAGGGCCAACAGCACTGGGCTTCAGAGACTGACTGCCTCTAGATATGGACAGCCAGATTCGAATCCAGCAGCACCTTAGGGACCAACAAGATTTTCAGGGCATGGGCTTTTCAGAGTCAGAGCTCCCTTTGTCAGACTCTCTTTGACTGTGGAAAGTTCATACCACAAAAGCCTTGCCGGTCTTTAAGGTGCTGTTGGACTCAGACCACAGACCAACATGGCTGCTCACTGAAATGGACTACGGAGGCTCCCTTTAGCGGCTAGCAGCCACCGATGGACCTCTCCACCATGAATTTATTTATTTATTTCGGCTTCTATCCCGCCCTCCCCGCTGCAACAGGCTCACAACATTATTATTACTGATAAAACAATTTCAGTTAAAATGACAATAAATTAAACCTAAAAACAATACATAAAGTGCTAGCAATGGCATATAACATGGCGGGAGTCCGCAATCAGTTAGCGCATAGTCTGGGTCATGTCAGCAAGGCACAGGCTATTCAATTATGTTAATGATATTATTGGTGTTATTAGGATATTGATGGTATTGGGGGACAGGGCCTCAGATGGTCGCGGCGGCTCCTTAATCAAATGCCTGGTGGAAAATGACAATAAATTAAACCTAAAAACAATACATAAAGTGCTAGCGATGGCATACAACATGGCGGGAGTCCACAATCAGTTGGCGCATAGTCTGGGCCATGTCAGCAAGGCACAGGCTATTCAATTATGTTAATGATATTATTGGTGTTATTAGGATATTGATGGTATTGGGGGACAGGGCCTCAGATGGTCGCGGCGGCTCCTTAATCAAATGCCTGGTGGAAGGGCTTGGTTTTACAGGGCCTGCAGAACTGTAAAAGGTCCTGCATGACCCTGATGTCTTCCGGGAGCTCATTCCACCAGTACGGAGCTGCCACCGAGAAGGCCCTGGCCCTTGTTGCTGCAAGCCTGGCTTCTCTAGGGCCTGGGAGGACCAGGCGATTTTGACTACCCGATCGCAGTGCTCACTGGGGAACGTATGGGGAAAGGCGGTCCTTTAGGTACATAGGTCCCTGGCCATAAAGGGCTTTAAAGGTAAGTACCAGCACCTTGAACTGAATTCGCTACGCTATAGGCAGTCAGTGCAATGCTTTTAGCGCAGGCTGGATGTGTTCCCGCATAGGGAGACCCATCAGAAGCCTGGCCGCCACATTCTGCACTAGCTGCACCTTCTGAATTTGGGACAAGGGCAGCCCCATGCAGAAGGCATTACAGTAGTCCAGTCTCAAGGTGACCATTGCATGGATCACTGACGCCAGGTCGTTGCGCTCAAGGAAGGGAACCAACTGCCTGATCAGCCAAAGATGGTAAAAGTCTGACTTTGCAGCAGCTGCTACTTGGGCCTCCATCATTAGGGGGGCATCCAAGAGCACTCCCAAGCTCCAGACCTTCGCCGCTGGCACCAACGGTGCCCCACTGAAGGTCGGGAATGGGATCCCTACCCCCGGACTACTCCGACTCAGGCATAGGACCTCCGTCTTCGTCGGATTCAATTTCAGTTGGCTCAGTCTAAGCCATCCAGCCACGACTTGCAATGCCAGGTCCAGATCTTCCGGACTGGAGTCTGACCGGCCGCCCAACAACAGATAGAGCTGGGTGTCCGCAGACTAGTGGGTGCCTTTGGGACAGTTGTTCCCCTACAGCCATCCTTTGTCCCCAATCCCGGAGAAACGAGGAAAGCCACTGCAAGGCAGACCCCTGGATCCCAGTGTCAGCGAGGCGGTGGGTCAGTAGTTGGTGGTCGTCTCCGTCCCATGGCCTGGTCGGAAACCGGACTGGAAGGGATCTAAGGAATCTGGAACAGGACTGGAAGGGATCTAAGGAATATGCCTGATCCCCTTTTAAAGCCATCCAGGATCATGGCCATCACTGTGAGCACTGGCTGTGAATTCCACCATTTAACTATTGTGTATTTAATTCATGCCAATGTGTTGGCATTATTGCCAATTTGATTAGTGCCACGTGTCAGCATCCCCTAGGGGAGCAGACTATGGTGTGAAGAACAGTCTAGTCCCCTGAATGCTACAAAGGTCCATCTAGCTCATTTAACTTTCCCCCAAGGCAATGAGGACTAGAAACTTCTTTTTGAGAGAGAGAGAGAGAGAGAGAGAGAGAGAGAGAGAGAGAGAGAGAGAGAGAGAGAACATACTACATTGCATCAAATCTTCAAACATGATTCTATGCCAAAAGGCACTTGTAGACATTGCTAGTGGGAATGTAAAGTGATAGAAGAATTTTGGAAACTGGTTATAAAACAAATATCCACCATAACACAGTTTACAATACCACTGCAAATAGATATATTGATATTGAACAACTGGCATTGTTGTACATCCAGATCCCATAATATTGAACTCCTAGAACTACTTTGTGTCTCCGCCAGGGCAATAATTGTTCAATTCTGGAAGAATAATATAATCCTCACAATCAAAGACTGGATATTTAAAATACAAGAATTTTGCATACTAGACAAAATCACAGACCCCACCTCTCAAAAAGAAACTGATCCTTATACATCAAAGTTCGTATCTATCCGGTTTCCTGTTTTAGAATGTCTGTCGTCTAAGGAAGAGTTTAAATCTGTAGTAGGAACAATTAATCTTATATATTAAGGTTTCCCTAAGATTTCCTTTTCTTAGACAATAATTCTTGAATAATGTCTCTATCACTTTGTTGGCTGAGCTAAGCCATACTACCAACTCATTTAAATACTAGCTAGACTATTGTTCAACTTTGTTGTTGTATGTATATATATAAAACTGTATATTATATAAAACTAAAATTAAAATTAAAAAAAACAAACATGATTCTGTGCAATGCTAAATGCTTGGGGCCGGCGGGAATCCTGGAAACCCGACACCCACACCCCACCCCCCCCCACCCCACCCAGCCTCAGGTCTTGCTTCCATCATCCGCTGATCAGCTTGTTTGTTTTGAGCTTTGGGCCCCCCCCCCCCCCCCCCGGTCTCTCACCATATCCTGAGCAGGCCGATGCACCCGGAAGAATCCCACCAGCAATGCAGTGGGCAGCAGTTCCCAGATGAAGAGGATGAGGCCAAAGACGATGTATCCTTGGTCTCCCAGGTCTGTGATTAGATCCGCCTGGGATGGGAGCAGACGGAAGACAGGTCAGATGCCGGGTGGAGAGTGGATCTCTGAACCAACACCCCCCACCCTCCCCACTCTGGTATCCCAATGAGTATGGCTGGGTAGCATCAGTAGAGCCCACGCCACGGGATTTCAGGGACGTGAGCCACACGCTATGGCAGAAGGCAAAATAACGCCCAACAGTTGGAGGGGCCGTGGTAGAGCCAAAACTGGCATGCAGAAGGGGCCTGGGTCCAGTCCTCAGGCAAAGGATCTCAGGTAGTTGATATTAGGGGTGATCCTTTTTCTGCCCCCGGCCCTGGACAACTGCTGCTGGTCAGAGTAGATGACCCTGAGGTAAATGGTCCAAAAGTAGAATTATGCTTCAAAACAAAACGTGCCCAGCGACTTCTTCTGTATTGTGGGTGGAAGCTGCACGCGTATAAAAGTTAGCCGGTCCCCTGGAAGGCCAGCTCTCAAGCCATCCAGAGAGAACAGCCAAGTCCCACCTTGGCCAATGGGGTTATCCATAAATAAATCAGAGCATCCTACTGTGCAACTTCTGCATTGTTTAACGTGCCAGGTTAATACACATCTGCTCTGTTTCTCCTTCGTTTTAGACTTTTGCTTGGTTTTAGATTTCAGCTATCCTAATCCTATTTACATTGCTTATTGGATGTCCCGTCCTATTGATTTGCAATGACTTACAACAGGGTTCCCCAACTTTTTTGAGCCTCTGGGCACATCGGGAGTTTTGCCTTCTGCAAGCCAAATGGAATAACACCCCCCCCTCCTCATGCCTCCTGGGAAGAAGGAAAGCCTGAAGGGGGAGTGTGGTTACATGGCCTAAGAAAAGCCCAGGCACTTATTAGTTCTCCTAATCCTCCAGTGGAAAACCCTTTCATTTGAATGAAGGCAGCCAATAACAAGCCTTGCCTTACAAAGGCCCCACCCACTTTCTGAAAAGCTCAGGGGGCACTGTGAAAAGTCCTGGCAGGCGCCATGGCGCCCATGTTGGGGAACCCTGACTTACACTGTGTAATCCACCATGAATCTCAGTGGGAGTGACAGATTATAAATAACGTGAATAAAACGCTCTGCCCCAACCTTTTTGAGCCTCTGGGCACATCGGAAGTTTTGAGAGGGGGTGGAAAGCTCCACCCCCAAAAATGCCTTCCGCAAGCCAAATGGAATACCCCCCCCTCCTCATGCCTCCTGGGAAAGAAGGAAAGCCTGAAGGGGGAGTGTGGAACCACGTGGTCTAAGAAAAGCCCAGGCGCTTATTAGTTCTCCTAATCCTCCAGTGGAAAACTCTTTCATTTGAATGAAGGCAGCCAATAACAAGCCTTGCCTTACAAAGGCCCCACCCACTTTCTGAAAAGCTCAGGGGGCACTGTGAAAAGTCCTGGCAGGCGCCATGGCGCCCATGTTGGGGAACCCTGACTTACACTGTGTAATCCACCATGAATCTCAGTGGGAGTGACAGATTATAAATAACGTGAATAAAACGAATAAAAATCAGGGCTATTTTTGGGCAGGAACGCACAGGAACGGAGTTCCGGCTGGCTCCTGAGTTGGCATTAGCATTAGCATAATAGGCCACACCCAACAGCAGAAACTCATTAGGATTGGCTACATTAGGGGTGTGTGGCCTAACATGCAAAGAAGTTCCTGCTACAAAAAAAGCCCAGGGTTTTGACAACAAAGTAAACAGAATAACAAGCAAAAGGTGGGTGTGATTGGATGACCACACTTCTGGTAACATGTGGGGTGTGGCCTAATATGCTAATGAGCTGTGCTATCAGGGGTGTGGCCTAATATGCTAATGTGTTTCTGCTGTTGGGTGCGGCCTAATATGCTAATGAGTTCCTGCCGGGCTTTTTCTACAAAAAAAGCCCTGATAAAAATGAATGAGATTCAAGCATGGCTAGATGGATGTTATTTCACAGGCGTTGCCAAAAGTCCCTATCTGGTGAGCTCATTTCCTCCCTAATCCCACATCTGTTGGGGCTGGTTGCAGTTTATACAACAGAGAGAGACAGGCTTTGAACCAGTCGCCTGGGAACACAGCTGCCTTCCCCTGAGTCAGACCCTGGGTCTTTCAAGTTACTGTTTGTTCTGACTGGCAGCAGCTCTACACGGACTCAAGCAGAGGTCTTTCACATCACCTACTATCTGATCCTTTTAAGTGGAAATGCCGGGGACTGAACCTTCTCCATGCCAAGCAGGTGCTTCAAAGTACTCTCCGTGACTGGATCTGAGATTTCAGAGATGAGTCCTTCCACTGGGAAAATGGGGTTCGGAGCTCAGCCCAGATGAGCTGCGGACCGGCCCCGCGCATTGCACAGCCGCGCTCACCTGGTCCGATACGTTGTACCAGTCATAGTCAAAAGAGTCAAGACGGGTGCGGGAAGAGAGAGCCAGGGCTGCCAGGTTGTAGCATGCTCGGCTGGCGTACAGCAAGACGATGGTGCCACCCATGGCAGCTGTTTGACACAGGGTGGTGCCCTGTAAGGGAAGAGGCAGGCGGGTAAGGAAGACTGACAGCCAAGGGGTAGACCTAGGGGTCCACTGCAGCAAAGACCCTTGCGGCATCTTAAACACTAGTAAGTTAATTGTGGTGGTGGCCACTTGGTCAGAAGCAAGAAATGGTCAGAAGAACAGCCCTGCTGGATCTGGTCAAAGGTCCATCTAGTTGAGTATTCTGTTTCCCAGAATGGCCAGCCCAGGTGCTTTGGGGAAGTCTATCAGCGGGGCATGACAACAGTGTCCTTCTTCTCCTGTTGTCCAACCCCAAAGCCAGTTTGGTGTAGTGGTTAGGAGCACGGACTGTGATCTGGGAGAACTGGGTTTGATTCCCCACTCCTCCAAATGCAGTAGCTGGGTGACCTTGGGCAAGCCACAGTTCTCCCAGAGCTGTTCTCTCGACAGCAGTTCTCTCAGAGCTCTCTCAGCCCCAGTTACTCCACAGGGGAGAGGAAGGGAAGGAGATTGTAAACCACTCTGAGACTCTGAGTGCAGGGCAGGGTATAAATCCAATCTCCTCTCTTCTCAACTGGTATTCACAGGTGCACTACCTCTGGACACAGAAATTTTCCACTTAGCCATTGTGCCAGACAGACCCTCTTTTTGAAATTTTGTAACGTCCAGCCTGATGAAGAGTTCTGGGGAACTTGAAAGCTTGTCCAATATTTTGTGTCCTTTGGTTGGTCCCTTATAAAAGGTATTGCATGGATCTTGTTATTTGGACTTTGCATTGCTATACAGCCACACAACTTTTCCCATCCTCCAAACACCACTCTAGTTTGCGTTAAACTGCTGAAATTACAATGGCCATCCTATGGGCAAAAACTAGGCCCTCTTCTGTACCTGGATTGCCAGCATGGGGGAATCAAACTCATGCCGTTGAGATTGTCCAACGTGACACCAACCAAGGTCACCTAAGTAAGTTTGGCTAGGGATCTAGGGGACACCAGATCCAATCTGGGCAGGTGAAACCCGTTCCTAGCTAAACCGCCAGTGGTAATGAATAGGTGCAACAACACTGATAGTCTGCCTAAGGCATGAATAGCTTCCGCGGTGTGATAAATTGCAGTGTGATAGCTGTGCTAGAGCAACAGCAAAAATAGTATGCTGTGGTACCTTAAAAACGCCAATAGATTTACTGCAGCAGAAGCTGTTGAGGGACCAGAGTGCCCAAATGCTTTTGAGGGGCTGTGGTAGTCCACAAAAGTTAAATCTGCAAACCTGTTCTTCTGTCAAGGGCATAAGAACACAAGAAGAGCCCTGCTGGATCAGACCAATGGTCCATCTAGTCCAGCATCCTGTCTCACAGACTGGCCAACCAGTTCCTCCGCAAGGATAAGAACAGGGCAGAGAGGCTGAGGCCTTCCCGATGCTACCTCCTGGTACTGGGATTCAGAGGTTGACTACTTCTGAACATGGAGGTTTCCCTTCAGTCACCATGGCTAGTAACCACTGACAGATCTATCCTCCAAAGTGCCATAAGCATCTCTGTTGTCTTTTCTCGCGTGTACCCCAGCCATTCCTGGGTTTTGTTGAGACCAGGTTCCCCCAGTATCAAATTTGCTAATGAGCTAAAGATAAGAGACTGTTAAAGAAGCAGCAGCAGAAGAAGAGTTGGTTTTTATACCCCGCTTTTCTCTATTTTAAGCAGCTTATAATCACCTTCCCTTCCTCTCCCCATCACAGGCACCTTGTGAGGTAGGTGGGGCTGAGAGGGTTCTGAGAGAACAGTGACTGGCCCCAGGTCACCCAGCAGGCCTCATGTGAAGGAAGGGGAATCAAATCCGGTTCTCCAGATTAGATTTTGCCACTATTAACCACCACACCACACTGGCTCTCAATCATCTTAAGCTCCCTGCTAGTCAACCAAGAGGCACTGTATTATTTTTGCCCTGCTTTTTGGGCAAACCTGGCTACCAGAGCAACTTATAGCAATTTAAAAAAAATGTATGCAAATACTAATTAAAAAGTAACACGAAAAAGGTGCTGAGTTCAGCTTCACGTTAGCCATGAACTGATGTGTGGTCTTGGGCAAAGCCTTCCTTGCTCGTGCAGGGAGGGGGGAAAGTGGGACAGAGGGGATTTCCCATGGCTCTGTCTTCCCCATAATTAGACGACTCAAGAATCTCAGCACAGAATAAAAATATGTTTATAGAATTGGGCACTGCCACCGGATATGAATGAATGAGCTCATTCCTTTTACATCTCCAGCACAGATTTGATATACTCGATCATGTTGACAGAATCATAGAATGACAGAGCTGGAAGGGGCCAGAGAGGCCACCTATTCCAACCCCCTGCTCAATGCAGGGTCAGCCTGGAGCATCCCTGACAAGTGTTTGTCCAGCTGCTGCTTGAAGACCGCCAGGGAGGGGGAGTTCATCACCTCACTAGCAATGTTCCCTCTAAGCTGTGGAGTCCTGTGAGCAAAAATTCTACTTTGTGAGCTACCGGCATTAAAGTTGTGAGCAGGTGAATTGGCTATTGAATAACTTAGTTTGCTCTGGAATCATCCTTCCTGAGCTAAGACAAAAATGTGTGAGCCGGAGGCTAAAAAACTGTGAGCTAGCTCACACTAACTCAGCTTAGAGGGAACACTGCTCACTAGGCAGCTGATTCCAATGTTGCACAGCTCTTACTGTCAAAACGTTTTTCCTAAGATCCAGCCAGCTGTTACATTCCTGCCCTAAATTTAAACCCATTATTGTGAGTCCTATCCTCTGCTGCTGAAAGGAACAGCTCCCTGCCCTCCTCTAAGCGACAGCCCTTCAAATACTTCAAGAGAGCCATCATGTCCCCCTTCAACCTCCTCTTCTCCAGACTAAATATTCCCAAGTCCCTCATCCTTTCCTCACAGAGCTTGGTCTCCATATTGACTTATACAGTGTAATTCACCTTGAGTCTCAGTGAGAAATAAATAACAAAAATAAATAAATAAATGAGAAAAGTTAGGCCACAGGGTCCCACCCACCCACCCACCTCAATCTCAGCAGAACCCACCTTGGCTTCCAGATAGATCCGTGTGGAAGGGGAGCCACGGGCCACGAGGCAGAGACACAGCGCAAGAGAGACAGCCCCCAACACAAACAGCGAGTCGTTGATGAGGACCCGTGCCAGAACCACAGCCCAGGGCTCTGCCCGGCGTGCCCGCACTAGCACGGCACATGCCACGTTCACCACCAGGAAGAGGAGGCTGGCGCCCAAGCATGCCCCCCGCACTGCCAACCTGGGGAGGAGAGAAAAGGATGGAGAAAGTCAGTCATGGCACTGCATGAAGAGCTCTGCTGAATCAGAGTAAGGGGCCAACTAGTCAAGCACCCTGTCTTTAGTGGAGGCTGATCAGATGCTTCTGGGAAGCATGGAAACAATAGCCCTCCCAAGAACTGGGCGTTCAGTGGCACACTGCCTCCGAACATGGAAGCTCTATTTACAGGCTAGCAGCCAATAGGCCTCTCCTCGGCACTGAATTTGTTGGATCTCCTTCGAAAGCGATCTCAGCTCAAGGCTTTCTAAGATCAGGGCTCCCCACAGGAAGCAAAGGTGCTTGAAGCCAAGCTTAACGTCATCCCCACCCTTTGCATTTGCCCCACATACTCCCCTACACCCAAGCAAGAGGGAATGTGTGGGAAGGCAGGATGCGAGTGTTATGATTTACAGACAAAACTGGACACACACGGGTACTCACAGGCCTCTGGTCAGTTCAGGGCGGTATTTTGCTTTGGCCTTGAAAACCACCTGGAAGGGAGTGGAGGGGGGGGGGAGATTAGCGGTACACAAGATGCAGGGATGAGGAAGCCATCTTGAAACAACTGATCCGCCACCCCTCTGGCCACCATGGCCCAAAGCCCAAAGGGGATGACAAAGGAACTCAGTTCCGTCAGCATGGCCTGATCCCCACACAGACGGGTTCCCCCTTGCGCATAAAGCGACAGGGAGGGAGAAGCACCGTAACAGTGCTTGCATGCACCTCTTATCCCTCCCTAGGTCCAAGGTGACCTGTCTGCTTGCGCAAGGCCCACTGTGATTGGGAAACACCATCAAGTAACTCATTCCAGAAAGGTGAATGACCAGCTCAGATATGGAAGTGACCTTTAGAGCAGTGCTGTGGGATACACAGGCGGGCAGACAGACACACACCTCCTTCTGTTTCTATGTGTGTGGGAGAGATGAGGAGAGGGGAGGCCGAGCACAGCCCCTTCCAGATCCCCTCTGCCTTTGTTTAACTAATAACTTCTCTTGCCTCACAAGGATCTGAAACATATTTCAAGGTTTCTGACACAGAACTGGGTGTGGATTTAAGGAGAAAGCCCCACCGCTCTGCAGATCCCTTCTGCAGATAACCAGCTCTCAATTACCCATTGTTGAAAAGGGAATAACAAGCGTTCTAAGGTAAATTGTGCCGTCAAGTCTTAACTGGCCCCGTGACGTTCCATCTCACGGGGTTTTCAAGAGATTAGCAGAGGTGGTTGGCCATTGCTTTCCTCTGCATGGCAGCCCCCCATCTTTCCCCAATGGTCTCCCATCCAACTTCTGCCCCTGTTTAGCTTACAAGGTCTGACAAGACTGGGCGACTCTGGGCTACTAGGGCGGTTACAACAGTGTAAAGGTAAAGGTAAAGGTTCCCTTGCTTGAAAGCCAGTCGAGTCCGACTCTAGGGTTGCGGTGCTCATCTCTGTTTCAAAGCCGAAGAGCCAGCGCTGTCCGAAGACATTTCCGTGGTCATGTGGCCGGCATGACTAAACACCAAGGCACACGGAACGCTGTTACCTTCCCACCGAAGTGGTCCCTATTTATCTACTTGCGATTTCTTGCTTTCGAACTGCTAGGTTGGCAGGAGCTGGAACTAGAGATGGGAGCTCACTCCGTCATGCGGCACACTCGGGTCTCGAACTGCTGAACTACTGACCTTCCACAGCCTGCAATTCAGCGTCTTAACCACTTGAGCCACCGCTCAGGAACCTTTTACACCAACCCTGCAAGGTAGTTTGGTTTTTACAACCATCACAACTACCCATATCGCAGATAGAAGGCTGAGGACACAAGAGAGCAGTGCCACCAAGTGTATTTGCGGCAGAGGTGACATTCGAACTAGGGGTTTTTCAGTTAACAGCTCAGTCTCTTAACCCCGATGCGGCACTCCCTATCGATAAGAAACACTGGCAACGAGTTCAAGTTGTAACTCTGGTTTATGCAGTTCAGACAGAGCGAATGCTGATTTCTAGAGCGCACAGGTAACCAAAGAGTTGCAGACAAAGATACACACATTCCATCGTTCCTAGTACACCCATTTCACAGAACCAAAGTACACAAGGATTTTGAAGCTGTGTACACAGCCTTCATATATAACCAAGGCCCCTCTGACACTCCTGTTTGCAAACTCTTGCCAAAGAGAAGCCCTTCCAGCCATTCTACATCAGCCTCTTTACCCACAAGCCACCTAGGCCAGCACAGCTTCATGAGCATTTTACCTGGGCAAAATACAGGTTCATGAGGGTCAAGGTGAAGAACTGCAGGCAGACCGGGCAGCAGTAGAGAAGCCAGAAGAAGAAAGGACCCAAGTGGTTGGCCTTGAGGGTGTTTCTGAAGTAGAAGGAGAAGAGGGTGGTGCGCAGGGCGGCCCAGAGGAGGCAGAGGAAGAGGAAGACAGTCTGGTAGCTGAACTTCTTGTGGCGATAGAAGAGAACCAGCCAGAGTTGGGCGTAGACCGAGAGGAAAAGCAAGGCGTACAGCGCCGTGTACAACGCCGTGAGCCCAACCTTGACCGCGGGCGGGAAGGCAGGCGTGAGGCGGGAAGCCGGCACGACCACACTGAGGTTGCTGAGGACTTTCTCCATCTTGAGTGTTGCAGGCTGGGGTGTGTGTGTGGGGGGGTGTCCCCGATTCGGCTAGGAGGGAGTCATTTCCAGCCGGGCATCAGCAGAGCCTCACTCGCTTAGGCGGAGGAGCTGCCCCCAGCTTCACAGGGGTGCCGGTTACATCCTTCAAGGCTGTGGGAGGCTGACCCTTTCCGCAGATGAATTAAGGGCTCCGGGCCAGTTCCATGGAGGTTATAGAAGGGCAAGGAGGGGTGGGCCAACAGAGTGGCACCTCCGGCGCCCACCCGCCCTCTCTGCTACGAAGGCATAGAGAGGAGAACCGGATCCAGTCCTTGGTGTAAAAGCCGCCCCAATCCCTGTAAGTGGGAAGGCAGGTCAGACAGCAGTTATGCCCGGAATCCCTGTCAGAAGGGAAAAGGGGGGGGGAGGGGGGGGGCTACCCTCCAAAAATAAGGTTTCCTTTTTTTTTTTGGAGGGGGGGGGGAACCCTCTCTATCCCTAAACCAGAAGCCAGCCAATTTTTAAGGCTGCTTTCTGTCTTGTCCCTACTGTCCCGGTCACTGGTCTCTTATTCCAGCTCTCAGACGCCAGGGCCTCTGGCCCCCCACCCAGTTCACGGACCCCTTTGGCCTGTTTCCTCCAGATTCTCGGGCACCTGAGCCACCAGCTCCCGGGTCCCTTCCCCCTCGCCTCCTCCAGGTCCTCGGGACACCTGGGTCCCTCTGCTTCTCCAGCTTTGGGGCGTCCCTTACTTAGCCCCCTCCCTTCCAGACGCCTGGGACTTTTGGCCCCCTCCCCCTCAGCTGCTCAGTCGCCTGACATCCCCCAACAAACTTAGCCCCCTCCCTTCCAGACGCCTGGGACTTTTGGCCCCCTCCCCCCCAGATGCTCAGACACCCCCCACCCCCCCCCCCCCGGAGGCCTAGGTCTCCTGGCCCCTCTCTCTCTCTTATCGACTGCCCCCTGCCTGGTCTCAGGCCCTCGGACGCCTGGGTTCCTCCTCTGTGTTCTGCTGTAGCTCCCCCCTCCTGCCCGCCGGACTCCTGGTTCCCTTTAACCTTCCCCGCCGGACTCCTGACCTCCCTCCCGCGCCCTCGGCTGCCTCGGCTCCTCGGCTCTTTCCAGATTCCCGGCCGCCGCCGGCCCCCCTCGGCTGCCTTTCCCCCCCAATTTGGGGGAGGAGGGTCCCCCGGCCTAGAGCGCTCCCCAGCTGCCCCAACTCCCGTCAGTTCCCCAGTTACGCAAAGGGAGTAAGCCCCGCCTCCCCTGTCTCACCAGCTTGGCGAGAGGGTCACGGCGTCTTCCTCATCGCCTTCGTCTTCCCTTGCGCAAAGGACGTAAGCCGTGCTGTGAATGGCGCGCTGAGCATAGAGTGTTCTGGCTGGAGCGGTACGGCTGCTTCCGGCCGCCATGTTTACTGTGGGCAATGGTACTTGCCCCAGTTCTTTCGCCAGTGCCGAGAGAGGGCGGACGTAATACGCTTTTTCATTATCTCCCGCTAAGGGTCCCATAAGCGTTCCACCCAGTAATTATAACACCATTATTAATTACCTCCATGTATATCACAGAAGTCCCCCCACTCGGTTTGTTATCCCAAAGAATTCCCATTACAGAGGCTGCTACATCAAGATGGGCAGCTGTGCTGCTCTGTTACAGTTCCTTGTAGCCTGTGCGACAGCAGTGCAAAACTAAAGACGACTCTCACTGATGATAAAAGGCTGGCAGTATGCGATTTGCTAAAATAATGGCAATAGATAATCGCATAGGCTTTGGCAATAAGAGATTTGGATAACGCAATAGCCACACGTTCAGAAACTGACACAAAGTCTGAGTCCTTTAAGACCAACAAAGTTTATTCAAGGTATAAGCTTTCCCGTGCACCCACACTTCTCCAGATACAATGAAATGGAAACGACCAGTCCATACAGAGTGAGATATTCGCTCATTTATTTACTTACATTTTATTTATATTTTAAAACGTATATTCTGCTTTTCTAACAGAGAATCCAATCGGTTCACAACAGAGGAGAAAGATGAACAACGCAATCTTAATGCAATCCTTCTAAAAACGTTTATTTAAATGGATTTAAACCATGTTAAAGATTGCAACATGCCTTGTACATGTACAACCCTGGTAAAGCTGTGGGAAGCCAAAGCAAAGCAGCAAGAAATCTGGAAACTGGGGGGGGAAAGAACTATGCCACAGAAAGGCATAGTTGCATAGATAATCTCGGTAATCTCTCCGTTCCTTTCACTGTCACTGAAAACGGAGGGGGCGGAAGGGAGAAAACCCTGAAGGCGACGGGAGGGAGGAGCCGAGGTCACCAGAAGGCGGAGCAGTCCTCTCCCCTGTGACGTCAACGACCTAGATTGGGCACGGAAGGTGGCAGTTCTCCATTGCCCGGGCGACTGTGGCTGGGTCTTTGCTGATGTAAACAGTAAGGGTGGAGAAGAGAGAGAGAGAGAGAGAGAGACCCCAATTTAGGTAAGGCGAAATGGAGGTGAATGGGTTGCCAATGGAGGCGGGAGGGGGGAGAGAAGGAAGTCCAGGATTTGGGAGAGAAAAGACTGAGATTCCAGATCTGGAAAGGAAAGGAAAGGAGGAGGCGGCGACGACTCTGGAGTGGGAGAGAACGGAGGAAGAGCTGGGGATTTAGGAAAGAGAGGGGCATGGAGAGGGTAGATCTAGGACTGGGGATATAAGACCCCACGTTGTAGGGAGGAAGGCAGAGACGTGCAGAACACAGCAGGAGTGGGGAGAGCATTAAGGGGAAATGTCAGAGCATTTGGGGCTGAGGGCTCTTCGGAAGAGGGGAGGGTACATCCTCCAGCGGCACCCCACTGTGGGAGACTGCTCAGGAAGCAGAGAATTCACCGTTGCTTCCAGGCAAAAGGGTTGGCTTACTCATAACCAAGCATTACTTCTAATAATACTTAGCGGGTGTGTGGCACTTTCAAGTGAGCCAAGAACTTGGCATTGTTAATTATCTTGGTCATCCTGACAACCACCCTGTAAAGCAGGCCATAAATTGCTATCAGACCGCAAGTCGCCGCTGTTGTGGAAGCGCCTTGCCTGAAGCTACTGAATTTGTGGCTGAGGTGAGATTTGAAATGGGGACTTCCTGATTCTCAGCCCAGCCTCTCCTCTCCGTCTCTGGGGCACCCGCTTGTTTTGATGCCTGCTCTCTCTCCTCCACAGCTGGGCCAGAAACCCCACAGACCCCTGGATAGTGGGCAGCCGGGTGTTGGGGGCCATGCCAGCCCCCCGACCATGTTCCACATTCCTGAGTACCAGGAGGATGAGGCCGCTTTCCCAGCAGAGGAGAAAGAACTGCTGGACCACAAGCTGAACTGGCGGGGAATTGAGGGAGAGGGCAAGGAGCCGGACAGTTTGGCGCACACTGGGACCACTTCCACCGGGCCCCAAGGTTTGCAACCAGAAAACATTTCCCTTTCCTTCATCCTGTGCCCCTTACAGGGTGCCCTGAGCAAAACGCTCTTGTGGCCCCTGTAGATTCTCTACTCTTTCTTTCATTTACTTCTGTTGCTTTGCTCAAATGTATGGTATCTCTGTGGACTCCTCATTTTCTCCCTCTCACTGTCTCTCTTTTTAAGACTTATTATTTCACATTCTCTGCTCTGGGATTCTCTGTTACCAGGAAATGTAATTGCGAAGGATCTTGAACTCTGAGGCATTTATAATAATAACTAAGTACTGTCAAGTCATAGCAAACTTATCGGGAACCCTCATGGGTTTTCAAGGCAAGAGATGAGCCATTGCGTTCCTCTGTACGGGAACCCTGATCTTCCTTGGTGATCTCCCCTCCACGTAGTAACGATGGCCAGCCCCGCTTAGCTTTCCATACTTTGACAAGCTCAGACTAGTCTGGGCTGTTCAGGCTGCTCAGACATTGGGATTCATTCTCTTTTGTTCGTTTCCTCTGAATTTTTACTGTATGTGGTTCTTGTGAAACCTTGTGAGTCAGGTTAAGTTAAAAGAGAATGACCGGCCCAAGGTCTCTCAACAAGCCTCATGGCAGCGGAAACACTTGAACCCAGATCTCTCAGATCCCAGTCTTAATATTCTAACGGCTGCCCCACACTGGCTCTCTGTATTGCACAGTTAAATCACAACAGGGAGGGGCCGTGGCTCAGTGGTAAGAGCATCTGCTTGGCATGCAGAAGGTCCCAGGTTCAATCCCCGACATCTCCAGTTAAAAGAACTGGCAGTAGGTGGTGTGAAAGACCTCTGCCCGAGACCTTGGAGAGCTGCTGCCAGTCTGAGTAGACAATACTGACTTTGATGGACCACGAGTCTGATTCAGCGTGAGGCAGACTCATGTGTTCAGAGAGTTCTGGTCTTCTACGAAGACCAGATTCTGTATAATCCATACAACAGAATATTACCACAGTGATTAACATGGAGTAAAATTGTTTCCATTGGTTAGAGCTTAGCCGAATGGGCATATCCTGTGGCAAGTTTCCTTTTTAGACTGCATTGCTTCAGACAAGGGGCAGCCCTCTTGGACTCAAAACGGCGTATAGCATTCTCCTCCATTTTATCCTCACAACAACCCTGTGAGGTGAGTTAGGCTGAGTGTGTATGACTGGGTCAAGGTCACCCAGCAAGCGCTTCCATGGGAGTAGTAAGTCCAGGAAGAGTTCCACGCTGTGCTTTCTGATCAGTGAAAATGCTGAATGTGAAAGGTGTTGTTCTAGATTGGTTGTGTGAACAAAATGAGTCAGGGAAATTTAATTAGCAGCCTTTTTTAGGCGGGTCCTTTTGATACCACAACTACAGGGGTGGGGCTACTGGCCAGCTGATTTACTAGCTCAGGGGTCTCCAACACGGTTTCTATGGACACTGTGGCACCTGCCGACATGGTTTCTGAGAGCCAGTTTCGTGTAGTGGTTAAGAGCGCGGACTCTAATCTGGGAGAACCGGGTTTGATTCCTCAGTTCGCCGCATGCAGCTGCTGGTGTGACCTTGGGAAAGGAGACTGTAAGCTACTCCTTCAGGTAGTGAAGGGCAGGGTATAAATCCACTCTCTTCTTCTCTTCATAAGGTCTTTTAGAGCTGTTCTCTCAAGGGCAGTCCTCAAAAGAGCTCTCTCGGCCCCCCCTACCTCACAGGGTGCCTGTTGTCGGGAGGGGAAGGGAAAGGAATTGTAAACCGCTCTAAGACTCCTTTGGGTAGTGAAGGGTGGGGTATAAATCCAATCTTTTCTTCTTCTTCTTCATTAAGTGTTTTTAGGAAGAGATCTTGCCCAGTGAGAGTTTGAATGGCCACTGGAGATTTTATTGGCTGTGCAGATTCTTAAAAATGTTGCTTTGGCAGAAGCTGCCATCGCACCACGAAAATCTTCACTGTGTGACTGAAGTAAAGCTATGGCAACCATTTTGTGGCCGGCTCTGCCTCCTGCAGCAGCTATTTTGTGGCTGCTCCACCCACTATGCTGTGTTAGAATTCCAAGCGTGTCCAACAGCTCAAAAATGTTGGGGACCCCTGTTCTACTTAAAGGGAACACCCCACTGACTGGCTGGGTTTTCTGTGGAGAAACTTGTGAGCACCCTAGCATTTTCATGGCAGTCTTGAATATTTCATTCCTTTACTTAAATAGGCCAGCAAGAATCGCTTCCCCATGAGGCAGCTTTCAGAAATGAGTTTTTTACGAATGAATGAACACACACACACACACACGTATACACACACACACCCAGATTCAGTTCTTCTTCCAAGCAGCTTAGGGTACTTACATTCCCCCTTCCCCCACATTGTGTCTCCACAGCAATTCTGTGGGAGCCCACAATACCCAATAATAACCAGCCAGCTTTGTGGTTATGGGGGGATGGATTCAAAACCCAAATTAGCCAGCTCCATACCCAGAAGCTTACCCTGCATTTCTCCCCAATGAGGACCCAAAGCAGTTTAACACATTCTCCTCTCCGCCATTCTGTTGACACAACAACCCTGTGAGGTAGGTTAGGTTGAAAGAAAGTGACTAGCTGCAGGTCATCCAGCAAGCTTCCGTGAGAGATGAGGATTTCAACCTGGGTCTCTAGTCAGACACCAGTAATCGCTGCAACAGAGATTCCCTATCTTTTTGAGCCTGAAGGGCACATTTGGAATTCTGTCATAGCATGGTGGGCGCAGCAACAAAATGGCTGCCGCAGGAGGCATAGCCGCCACAAAATGAAGTAACACAATGTAGATTTTTCCATGTGATTAACACATGGAATTCACTGCCACTGGAGGTGATGGCAGCTACAAGCATGGACGGCTTCAAGAGGAAATTAGATAAACATATGGAGCAGAGGTCCATCAATGGCTATTAGCCACAAGGTATAGATAGGAACTCTTAGTCTGGGAGAAGAGATGTACTGTATTCTTGGTGCTTGGGGGGTGCAACAGTGAGAGGGCTTCTAGCATCCTGGCCCCACTGGTGGACCTCCTGATGGCACCTGGTATTTTTGGCCACGGTGTGACAATGTTGGACTGGATGGGCCACCGGCCTGATCTAACATTGGCTTCTCTTATGTTCTTATGACAGCTGTTGCCAAAGCAACATTTAAAAAAATCTGCACAGCTAATCAGAAGCTGCAAAAGCCCTACCTGGCCCCCACCTGCTTCCTAAAATCACTCGGGAACCAGAAAAGGCATCATGGGGCTCACGGGTATCATGTTGGGGACTCCTGAACTACACAATTCTACACAGTATGACACCGTGTGCCAAAAAATGACTAACATGGGTCTGCGTTCATAACTTGGGTGGACATCTGCAAGTTTGGGATAACCCCACGTGGCTGCGTTTCTCTTTTCACCTCACCCAGCAGAGCTGCGGCGTCGCATTGGCTCAGACCCCCCGTTGCCAGAGTCAGAGCCACCAGATGAGGTGGGCACTTTCCGGGGGCGTTCACGCTCTGCCCCTCCCATCCTGTGGGCGGCCCAGCGATACGGACGGGAACTGCGGAGGATGAGTGATGAGTTCCACGGGGCACTGCAGGTGAGACTGGCGCGTGCCACAGGATCCCTGGGGAAAGGATGCGTGTGTGATTTGGGGTGTATGTTTGTGAAGGGACGCCGGCATGTCGCCGAGGGGAGAAAAAGCACTGAAACAGTTTCTGTTGCACATATACTCCATTAAATAACAGTGATTTTGTTGGGGTTATTTATTTACTTCGGTTTATATCCTACCTTTCTCCTCAGTGGGGACCAGTGTTCCCTCTAAGCTGAGTTAGTGTGAGCTAGCTCACAGCTTTTTAGCCTCCGGCTCACGCACTTTTGTCTCAGCTCAGGAAGGAGGGCTCCAGAGCAAACTAATTGATGCAGTAGCCAAATCGCTCGCTCACAGCTTTAATGCCGGTAGCTCACAATGTAGAATTTTTGCTCACAGGACTCCACAGCTTAGAGGGAACATTGGCTGGGGACTCAAAGTGGCATACATGATTCTCCATTTTCTCCTCATAACTCTGTGAGGTAGGGTAGGCTGAGTGTGTGTGGTGAGCTTCCATGGCTGAGTAAGGATTTGGTCTCCCAGATCCTAGTCCAACGTCCAGCCACTACACCACACTGGCTCTCTAGTGAGTTCATCACATCTTCTGCCAATAGTAGCCAGTGACACATTGTATTGATGTTTTTGCTGTTCCACCAGTTATGTATCACCAGTCCATGGAGGCCTGGTGAAGCAGAATTCTTGTTGGGAAAGTGACTCCACCAGTGGCGTACAACTGCTGCTATAACTGTGATTTTAAAAAAAACCCAACAAGTCATGTATGTACTGGAAAGCCGCGCATTTGGAAGAGCTGTTCTGACACGCATATTTCACATGTACTGTGAACCCAGTTTCACAACCCATGTTAAGGACTTTTGTCAGTCGCCCAGCTCAGATGGGCAATTAGCTGCCTTGGTGCCCATGGTAAGGACAGAAAGGTGGGATACAAATTTTGTAAATAAAGAAATATTTCTGAGACAGCTGTTTTTCAGTAAGTTTTTTTCTTCAAAATAGCATACGAGAGTTAAGAGAAATCAAATGCCCGAACACTATTAAAAACCTACGATTAACAACCAGAACAGCAGATTCAAGAACATCTTTGTTCAGCTACCTGAGGCACTACAAAAGGGAAAGGTCTTACTTTCAGAAAAACAGAGCTATACAAATCTCCCATGAGAGAGTGCTCCAAAACTCTGGAGCCACAGCAGAAAAGGCCCTGCGTCTCACAGAAGACAGCTTATTACATTTTAATCCTTCCATTCCTCAAAGGAGCTCAGGGCAGAGTACGAGCCTTTCCACTCCTCCATTTTTTTACTCTTCACAACGACCCTGTGAAGTAGGTTAGACTGACAGTGATTGGGCTAGAGATACCCTCTGCCAAAGGTGAAATATTCAACCAGACCTCATTCATAGATCTTAAAGTGTTGTGGGGGAGGGGAGATACAGACGTGATTATACCTATTGCAGATCAGGATCCAGACTGCTCCCGAGTCTTTCTAGGTTAAAACCAGGACATTTTATCTGGCACAGAAACAAATGAGCAGGGCAAGTCAAATGTCTTTTTAAAAAAGGTGATAGGTTTAATTTAAACAAGTTTCTGTCGGAGCAGACAAACTTGACCTGTGTGACTTTGCATGTGTCCAATGAATCATTTGTTGAAAGCATTTGGACTTTACCTGTCTCCAAAGACTCAAGGCAATTTACAAATGCAGCACAGCAGTAACCAGCGGTGTGGGCTTTCTGGAAACATATGAACCAGAAAATTCCTGATGGCTTAATAGGGTGTTATTTGATTTAGCATATTTATTTTGAAATATTTAGTAAATTTTGTTAAAAGAATAGTTAGTAAAGGTAAAGGTTCGCTTGCTCGAAAGCCAGTCGAATCCGACTCTAGGGTTGCGGTGCTCATCTCAGTTTCAAAGCCGAAGAGCCAGCGCTGTCTGAAGACGTTTCCGTGGTCATGTGGCCGGTATGACTCAACACCAAGGCGCACGGAACACTGTTACCTTCCCACTGAAGTGGTACCTATTTACTTGCAATTTCTTGCTTTCGAACTGCTAGGTTGGCAGGAGTTGGAACTAGAGACGGGAGCTCACTCCGTCATGCGGCAACTCGGGCCTTGAACTGCTGAACTACTGACCTTCCACAGCCTGCAGTTCAGCGTCTTAACCACTTGAGCCACCGCAGCTCCTTAGTTACAAATCAATAAAATATGCACAAACTCTCTTGCACTATTTGGGCACAAAATGGGAAACTCTCTGTGGGAAAATCAGGCATTTGTAGAAATTGTTCCACCCCACACCTCTGGCTCAAGTGGTTAAGATGCTGAACTGCAGGCTGTGGAAGGTCGGTAGTTCAGTGTTCAGTAGTTCGAGACCCGAGTGTGCCGCATGACGGAGTGAGCTCCCGTCTCTAGTTCCAGCTCCTGCCAACCTAGCAGTTCGAAAGCAAGAAATTGCAAGTAGATAAATAGGTACCATTTCGGTGGGAAGGTAACAGCGTTCCGTGCGCCTTGGTGTTTAGTCATGCCGGCCACATGACCACGGAAACATCTTCGGACAGCGCTGGCTCTTTGGCTTTGAAACGGAGATGAGCACCGCAACCCTAGAGTCGGATTTGACTGGCTTTCGAGCAAGGGAACCTTTACCTTTACACCTCTGCCAGGAACACCTTCGAGCAATATCAAAGCAAATGGTCTACTACAGCCTTCCAGATCTGATATTTTATTATCCATCACAGAACGTCCTCTTAAATTGGACTGCTTTGCATGCCCTGCATAAGATTGAAAGCTAAGGTGCCCTCTGCACTTCTTCAGGCAAGCCATTCCACAGCCCCGGTCCTGCCACTGAGAATACCCTTGTGCCGGTGGGAAGTGAGCAAACTGATTTAATGGGCAGAAGAACAGAAGGAGTCATTTGAGGAGAACAATTAGCAGATGGGAGCATATTAGGAGATGCAGTCTGATAGGTATGGCAGGGTCGTCCCCTGGCTGTGAAGGGCTTCCAAGGTAAAAAACAACAAACACACACCTTGAATTAGGCCCCAGAATAGGTTACCTGTATAAATGTCGAAGCACAGATGTTACATGTTCGGAGAAGCGAACCCCAGAGAAAAGCTTGGGTGCCACGTTTTGTGCCTTCCATGACCATTCCAGGAAGGCAGTTGTGTTAAGTCTACTGCAATAAAATAAAACAGAACTCCAGTGGCGCCTTGGAAAAATCAGAACCTTTATTTCAGCCTGGGCTTTCGTGTGTCAGATCTCACTCCTTCAGATGCCTGTAAAGAAGTGAGCTCTGACTCATGAAAGCTCATGCCGGAACAAATGTTCTGATTCTTTAAAGTGCCGCCGGACTTCTGTTTTATTTCACCAAACTTTGCACCATTGGAAGCTTCTGAGTCCTCTTCAAGGGCTGCCCCGTCTACAGTGAGCTGCAGCAGTCCAATCTGGAGGTTACAGAGGCATACGACAGCGTGGCTACGCAGCTGAGTATAGACAGGTCACTAACTTATGAACAAGATGTAATCGAAAGAAGATGCTCTTAGCAACAGTGCCAGTCTGTTTTTCCGTCAACAAAGCTGTGCCCAAGAGCACCTTCATGCTCTTCACTTGCTTTGACAGCCACACTCAAGTAGGTTCTCTAGAGAGGCAGCAGATACATTTCCTGAATAAATCAATCTGTAAGAGAAACTTAACCCCTTATAAAGCTGGTAAATCAATCCTGGTCAAAGCTCTTTTGCCTTTCTAACCAGCATCCCCTGTGTCCTGTCTAGATCAAATTTCTGCTTGTTCATCCTAAGTCACCTGGACAATTAAAGATGCTGCAGAGGCTCAGAGAAAGAAACAGAGAACCAGGTGACCCTGTATCTGTTACAATTTCCCAGCCTAACCTACCTCATTAGATTGTTGTTGTGAGGGTAAAGTGGAAGAGGGGAGAACCATATGAAGAGCCACTTTTATCTCCCTGACCAGGAAGAGAGAGGTGTGCATCGGCTCACCTTAACAAAAGAGAATCCCAACTCATTTTTAAAAGCCAACTGCAAAACTGTGACGGAAGGGGAAGTTGGTGATGGCCCAGGTGTTAGCCAATAGGTGACCATCCCAGCTTTTCACATGCTGGCTTGACCCATGCCAAAGATTTGCAGAGCAGTTCTGTCAGAGTTTGCCCTGGGACAATTCCTGCCTCACCCCACAGGTTACAGGGGGCAACAGCGACGCTCATAAACCCCACCACCTTTTAAAAAATGTTAACTTCTGCCTTCAGCCTTAAAGATGAGAATACTCACCTAGAGTATTGTATTCAGTTTTGGGCACCACAATTTACGGATATAGACAAACTGGAACTTGTCCAGAGGAGGGCAATGAAGATGGTGAGGGGTCTGGAGACCAAGTCCTACCCTGTTTCCCCGAAAATAAGATCTACCCCAAAAATAAGCCCTAGCAGGATTTCTATGCATTTGTGGTATAAGCCCTAGTGTGTCTTCTTGAGAAAAAATAAATATAAGACAGTGTCTTATTTTCGGGGAAACACGGTAGCAAGGATACCAAATGAGGGGCGGTTGTGTCGAAAACTTCCGTAGATGCAGGATTGCACCCTGAAGTTCCCATGGATGAGTCTGTAGGTCTGCCGATTAAGAGCAGAGGAGTCAGTTGCTTTTAAACTTGGTTTGCTCCTGGGGCATTGCTGCATAAGGAAAGGAACTCAGGCAGATCATGAGAGGGAGGGCAGGGAAGGTTGCCTCAGTGCTTAGTTCTAGTGGCCCTTTTTTACATGCCCAGAGAAATGCTGATCGCCATATTGGGGTCAGGAAGCAATTTTCCTCCTGGCCAGTTTGGCTGGGGATCCTGGAGTTTTTTTGTCATCTTTTGGGCATGGAACAGGGGTCACTGGGGCTGTGGAGGGGGGGAGGCATTTGTGAATTTCATGCATTGTGCAGGGGGTTGGACTAGATGACCCTGGAGGTCCATTCCAACTCTATGATTCTCTGTGACTCTAAAAGAGAATCCTCCGTCAAGAGGCACCAGTTCAGTCACATACCCTGCAGATGAGGTTCCAGGAAGCAAAACAACAAAGCCTACACAGACCCTCTCCTTGGCCTATAACAGTGGTGGCGAACCTATGGCACGGGTGCCAGAGGTGGCACTCAGAGCCCTCTCTGTGGGCATGCGTGCCATCGCCCCAGCCAGGCCCAGACCATCATTAAAGTGTTGAATTCTCTGCTAAATAATTTTAAGTAAATGAAAGCATTTGGGATTGCTTTCCTTACTTTGTTTGGATCATCTTAAATTAATGTATGAGTTGTTTTTTCTAAAGTAAAACCTCAGTATTCAGGTTAAATTGCCGTGTTGGCACTTTGCAATAAATAAGTGGGTTTTGGGTCACAGTTTGGGCACTTGGTCTCTAAAAGGTTCGCCATCACTGGCCTATAACAACAGTGTCTGTTCACTGTTTGTGAGGGAGAGAGATACCGCCTTACTCTCACAGCTCTTCTCTCTTGCAGAAGCTGCCACGACCCAAGAGCGCAGGGACTGCCTCACAGATGTTCCGAACGTCAGGCTGGAAGGAGACCCTGCATTCATGGTGGCGCCGAAGTTCCCCGGGACTTCCCAGAAGTCCTCCCTGACCGAGATTTGCTGCTGTTTTGACGAACAAAAGAGGGGTGGGCAATATGTAGGGTCAATGTAGCATGTTTTCTTATCCCAAAGTATCCGGGAAGGGTAGGGGTCATTCCACGGCACCTCCTCCACCCATTTCTCTGGGGGGGGTCCTCTGCCTCACAGTATACTATGACGTGTAACCATTTTACCTCCTACCCCTTTTACGAGGAATCACAAGCATTCCCCCGACCCCTTCTCCAAGTACTCTTTTTCTTTGGAAAAAAGAAGCAAAAACACTGTATTGAAAATTAGAACAGAAATCCTGAATTGTGTGTTTTTTTTTTTTTAAATATGAATAAATTTGTAAAAGCCTTTATTAAAAATGCTGTTATTTCTGGCATTGGGATGTTGACACCCATCACTCAAACACTTTCCTCTGAAGGCTGGCAACAAACTCCATCACCAGGTCTGGGCTACCATGGGAATGGGTTTGCAAATGTTATATTCAAGGGGACGTGCAGACTTTGAATTCGCATTCACAGGCCAGTTCACAGGCCACACGCGCACACACCCGATCTCCTAGGCCACACCACTGGGATCCCAACAATAGCGTTTCCCACAATCCAGCGCTCTCAATTCTTCCATCTCAGTTTGGGCCAAGTCCCAATTCCAGAGCTGGCTGTTCTCAGCCACACGGGTTGGGGATGCTGATTTGGGGATGACGCTCACGCCCTGCTGCACAGCCCAGCGTAGCAAGACCTGAGCAGGGGTGCGCCCTTGCCGTTCGGCGACCTTCACTACCTCTGGCTGCCTCACCAGCGGACCTGTTCCCAGTGAAGAATAAGCCTGTAGATGGATACCCTTCTGGCGACAGAAATCCAGCAGCTCTGACTGGGCCAGTTCTGGGTGGAACTCCACTTGAAGAACAGCTGGGGGCACGAGGCAACTCACGAGCAGCTCCTGGAGGTGCTTGACGGTATAATTGGAGACCCCGATTGCCCGTAGCTTCCCGGCTTCATGGAGTCTCTCCAGAGCTCTCCAGCTCAGTTGTCGATGTTCTCTGTTACCTTTATCTTCCTGAGGGCGGCCTTGCGTGCCTGGCCAATGGATGAGATAGAGGTCCAGGTAATCGCAGCCCAGTTCCCGCAAGCTACGGAGGCAGGCTGCTTCGGCGGGTCCCTCTCCATGGTCTCTTGGACTCAGCTTGCTGGTCAGGAAGATATCCTTGCGGCTGAGGCCATAGCGTGGCAGGAGCTCACGTAGTGCATCCCCTATGGCTGCCTCATTGCCATAGACGGCAGCCGTGTCCACCAAACGGTAGCCGTTCTCCAAAGCGGCCTTTAGGCTCAGGCGCACCGCCTCCCTGTCTTGCAGACGGAAAGTGCCCAGCCCCAGAAGTGGCATGGGTGCTCCAGTATTCAACCATGTTGTACGTTCTGGTGGCCTGGGAGGGACAAAATAGGTGGATTAGGTTTCCTGCCCCTGTCCGGGAATGCCATGCTCAGCAGGGTAAATGTTTTGCCATTCCGTTCAATGACAGCAGCTTTGACTCTTGCAAGCTGATACCACCAAACTCTTTTTGGTCTCTTAGGTGCTAGTGGGCTTGAATGTGACTGAGAAGCTGGAATGGAAGCCTCAAGACCATCCATCTCCTTTGCAATGGACACCACTGACCAAGTTATACCTACAACAGCTTAGAAGACAAGAACATGTATACAATTTTATATAAATCTGTTCAAGAACATGCGAAGCTGTGTTCTTCAGAGTCAAATCTGTTTAGCTCAGCACTGCTTACCCTGATTGGAGGTGGCTCTGCAGCCTTGTTATCTTTCGGCTACAGATGCCAGAGACTGATCTCTGAGATTTTTCTTTTTTTGAAGTAAAGCATGTGCTCTGCCTTGAGTCATATGTTCACTCCCTCGTAGGTGCCAGTGTGATCTGAAGTTCGAAACTGAGGGCCTCACAGCCTTGCGGTATTTAGGCTTCCTCCAACAAGGTCTCAAAGATACATTGTGTGTAAAAGGTGTAATCAGGCATCATTTGTAATTTCGAGTAAGACAGGTGGAAGAGATTTCAGCAGCAGGGAATAAGGTAATGTTTACAGCAAAGGCTTATTCTTGAACACACTTACTGGGGGAAAGTAAATGAGTCCAAAGGCTACCTTTTTTTTTTTTTAAATGACATTTTATTCGTAGAAGGTTTTGAGGGCTGGGGGCCACTCCTTCAGATGCACTGAACGGCTCCTTGCTGTGCAGACCTTTTCCATCTTTTGTGTGGATCCCCTGACTGCATCTGAAGAAGTGGCATCTAAGCTCAAAACCTTCGGCTGTTGCTAGTCTTTAAGGTCCCTGGCCCAGCCTAGCCTGATCTCCTCAGATCTCAGAAGCTAAAGTTGGCCCTGCTTAGCACTTGGATGGGAGACCACCAAGGAACCCACAGAGCAGGCAATGGCAAACCACCTCTATTATCTCTTGCCTTGAAAACCCCTATAGGGTCACCAGCACACACACACATTCTTTAAGGTGCCCTAAGACTCCTATTCAATTTCGCTGCAATAGACTAACCCAGCTGGACTTCCAGAAGACTTACTAAGTAGGGGGTGAGTCCTGTTTAGAATCGTGCCGGGAAATTGCAGAATTAAAAAAAAAGGGGGGACACACACACACACACGTTCATTAAGAGCACGCTTTAAGCGAAGAAAGCGAAGAACGTCATACTGGTTCCACGCATTACTTTTTAACTAAGCCTAATTCACTGTTCGCAACAATGCGAAGAAAAATAATATACTTAGTCAGAGGTAAAGAGAGAAGGTTGTCTGCATCACCTTAGGTGATAATTACCACTACCACAACTGGTCCAAAGTCCTGTGCAAGGGGAGCCGCCAAACTACTCTGCTCATCTACATCCCTCCCCCCCCGGGCACAAAAAACCACACAAACCCATAAGGGTAACCACAGACTCCTCACCAAGATCCCGGAAGTTCCCGCACCGCTGGCTGGTTCTGCATGGTCAGACTGTAGTCTGAGAGACAGTAGCGGAGAGATAGGCGTTCCCCGACCAGGACGGACAACGCCTACTCGCCAATCAACGCGCAAAGCAAAGGGAAGGGGGCGTGCCCCCCCAGGGAGAGACTAAGGAAGCGAAGGCCGCTGAAGGGGCCCCACCGCCGGGCGGGACAAAAAGTGAAAGACGTCGAGTCCGTATACGCATGCGCCCCTGCTTGCTTAGAACTTGGACCTGGTCGTGTGCTGAGTTTGCGCAGTCCTGCACTCAGTGCGGTGGAGATGTAAAAAAAAAGAAAAAGAAGGAAAAGACAGGAGAGAGAAAAATAGGTATGATGATCCACGATTGAGTGCAAGAGACACTGCAATATATGTATATATATATATATTTACGTGTGTGGTTTCATACAGCCCCCGTCTATAGCTAATGAGTAAGTTCCAGCTCCTGCCAACCTAGCAGTTCGAAAGCAAGAAATTGCAAGTAGATAAATAGGTACCACTTCAGTGGGAAGGTAACAGCGTTCCGTGCGCCTTGGTGTTTAGTCATGCCGGCCACATGACCACGGAAACGTCTTCGGACAGCGCTGGCTCTTCGGCTTTGAAATGAGATGAGCACCGCAACCCTAGAGTCGGATTCGACTGGCTTTCGAGCAAGGGAACCTTTACCTTTACCTTTAAGTGCAACTACCCAATGGCACTGGCTTTTGACATGTTTCCATCACAACAACTACAGAATTCTGCATCAACAGAAAAGGGCTCTGTACATTCTCTGGGAATGTGTGCGTTGTGGGACCAGAGTGCAGAACGGCTGCCCTCCGTGGCTGAACCTTCCAGTGGTTGGGAAGAAAACTTTTTTTTAATTCCGAAGGTTTGGGATGCTTTTTTTGTTTGTTTTTGCAACCCCAGTACGCCTTACCGTGCCGCAGAATCAAGAATTTCCAAGCAAGGGTATGTGTTCGCCAAAATATTAAAATCAGTATGCACAGGACTATTTTTTTTCTTGCTCAGAATTATACCGATGGTCTCTCATAACGTTTTAAGTGCTAACTCCTTCCAGACCTCCAGGGTCCCATTAAAAAAGCAGTACAGTGAAATTACTTTGGGAAGGATGGCTACAGAGGCTCTCCTGGGCTACTCAGTTTAGAAAAGAGATGACTAAGGGGGACATGATAGAGGTTTATGAAATTACACATGAGATGGAGGGAGCGGACAGAGAAGTTCTTTTCCCTCTCCCAAAATACTAGAAGAGGGCATCCCGTGACGCTGATGGGTAGCAGATTCAGGATGGACGAAAGGAAATACTTCTCTACAAGGAGAGTGGTTAAAATGTGCAATTCCCCACCAGGGGATGTAGTGATGGCCACAGGCATAGAAGGCTTTAAAAGGGGATTGGATAGATTCATGGAGGACAGTGGCTGCAGGCCATGGCAACGAAAGGGAACCTCCGCGTTCAGAGCCAGGAGGCAACAGCAGGGGAGAGCTTCGGCCTCCATGCCCTGTTGTTGGCCCTCCAGATGAACTGGTTGGCCACTGTGTTACACAGGATGCTGGACTAGATGGACCACTGGTCTGATCCAGTAGGGCTCTTCTTACATTCTTATGTTCTTACCATTCCCCCCTTCCCTTTCCTGCACTGAAAATAGTTGTTAGAATGTCATACTGGTGCTGGGAAGGGCTGAGTACACATCACCACCGGTACCTTCTCAGTCTAACCTACCTAACAAGGTTGTTGTAAGGGTCAATCCTAAAAGAAATCAACCCTGACTATTCCCTGGAAGGCCAGATACTGAAGCTGAAGCTCAAATACTTTGGCCACCCAATGAGAAGGGAGCACTCACTGGAGAAGACCCTGATGCTGGGAAAGATTGAAGGTCAAAGAGGAAGGGGATGGTAAAGGATGAGATGGTTAGACAGTGTTATCAATGCCACGAACATGAAATTAAGCAAACTCCAGAGCACGACAGAAGATAGGAGGGCCTGGCGTGATGTGGTCCATGGAGTTGCAAAGAATTGGACTCAACCGTGCGACTGAACAACAACAACAACAACAAGGATCAACTGGAGAGAGGTGTGCTGAGCTGAACTCCTTGGAGTTAAAATGTAAAAAATAATCACATTTCCAAAGTATGCCCTGGCGGAAAGCCAAGTTTAGGTTTAGAAGGTCAAGGTCCAAATCTATCCTTAACCAGAAATCTCACTGGACTTGGGCACGTTGCCGTCTCCCAGCTTAATTTACTTTCCGGTCATGCTGCAAGACTGCGAGGAGAAGGCTATTTATTTAGTCACACATTTGTTTAAAAAATTTCTGTCCTGCATTGATAATTGGAATTCTCAAGTTATTAGAAAACACAATCAAAGCGACACAATAAGCGGTAATAAATCCTGACAGCAGAGAACAGCAGCAACGTTTATATACAAATGACCTAGCAAATACAAGGCTGTTAAAAACAAAGAAAAGGACCACTGTAAGAGCCACTAAGAAAAAATATATATACTCAAAGGCCAGGACTGCATAAATCTTGGACAGGGGCCATGGGGAATCAGGAAACTGAATCAAAAGAACATAATCAACATAGAACAACAGGGAAAGCAATCTCACTTGCCACCAAAGGCCTCGGAAAATGTCAAAACAAAAGCAACCTCCATTAGGAGCTAAAAACTGAAGAAAGGGCTAGGCAAATTACAACTGATCTCCAGAGCCACAGAGGTCAGATCCTCTGGAGAAAATGGCTGCTATGGAGGGCGGGCTCTACACCCATTATTATCCCCTGAGGCCCCTCCCCTTCCCTCTCCAGGCTCCACCCCCAAATCTCCAGGAATTTCCCAAACTGGAGTTGGCAATCCTAAGTACAATGGGCACTGATAGGGAATTGGATGTTCCAAGCTTTTGGAATGTGAGTCTTGCCCGTCTGCCATTGGAAGCGGAAAGCAGCCCCTCTTCCAAGCACCCGTTTTAAAAGTGTGTGTGGAGAATCTTTTTTTTTTTTGCTGGTGGGTGGGTTTTGGATGCCAAGAAAAAAGTGACCAAGAATCTGGTGGTGTCTGCGTGCTTCCCTTGGTGTCCCTGCTACGGACTACCTGCTCAGCCAGTACAGATCATTACAAAGATCATCGCTAGTGTCACGATCCTGCTCCCTGCCAGACGCCGGCTTGTTTCCGTGCTTAGTGATGGAAGCAGGCGGTTACAAAAGGGCCATAGGCAGTGTTCCCTCTAAGCTGAGTTAGTGGGAGCTAGCTCACAGTTTTTTAGCCTCCAGCTCACACATTTTTGTCTTAGCTCAGGAAGGATGGCTCCAGAGCAAACTAATTTATGCAGTAGCCAAACTGCTCGCTCACAACTTTAATGCCAATAGCTCACCAAGCAGAATTTTTGCTCACGAGACTCCACAGCTTAGAGGGAGCTTTGGCCATAGGGTTGCCACCTCTGGGTTGGGAAATATCTGGAGATTTGGGGGGTGTTCAAGCCTGAGGGGGATGAGGTTTGGGGAGGGACTTCAATGGGGTATAATGCCATACAGCTCACCTTCCAGTTTGGTGCAGTGGTTAAGTGTGCAGACTCTAATCTGGGAGAACCGGGTTTGATTCCCCACTCCTCCACTTGCACCTGCTGATGTGACCTTGGGTCAGTCACAAGCTCTGGCACAGCTGTCCTTGAAAAAGAGCAGTTTGTGTCAGAGTTCTCTCAGCCCCACCCACCTCACAGGGTGTCTGTTGTGGGGAGGGGAAGGGAAAGGAGTTTGTAAGCCGCTCTGAGACTCCCAGTGAAGGGCGGGGTATAAATCCAATCTCCAGGTGAACTGATCTCGGTC